GAAGATAATTGATTGTTTGAACCAGAATCTAACATTACAATTTAGGGACAATTTTTAGAGACCTCTCTTCATATTTCTCTCTATAACACTCATCTTCCCTATGATTTACGATATTATACATACCTCCCTTATTTTGATTTTGTTGTAACCATTCTTTTTAAAGGGGAATTTTCAGTTATAGTCACTCAAAAATAGCTTAATTATGCCACATAGCTATAGTTTGCTAATTACGATTCGTAGCTACATGTTAAAGGGAGGAGAGTGGTGAGTTAGATCGGGAGAGGGAGGAGAGAGGCGAACGAGAGATGGCAGAGAGTGGATAGAGGTGAATTATATATGTATATTGGTTAGATAATTGTATATGTATGTTGGTTAGATAATTGTATATATGTAACTACTATGTATATATATCAATTATTGTATGTGTATATCTGCATACAATTTGAATTAATATACAATTGAATTGAGTTAAAACATTTGTATTTGTATATTCAATCTCTGTCTCGCTTTACACAAATACAGAGGAGAACTAGGCAGGGAAAATTTGTATTTATATAATTATAAGTGTATCGAGCAGAGATATATGTATTTATATTTGTATATCCCGTCTCTCTCACTTTATAACAACAAAAATTATACACTTGTATTTGTATAAAGTGAGAGAGATATTGACAGAAGAGAAGCGAGAGAGACTGGGTAGGGAGAGGAGAGAGACGAGAGAGAGATGACTGAAAAATAGGAGAGTGACGAGATAGAGGTGAGAGAGAGAGAGGAAGAGAGGCGAGAGAGAATGTAATCATAGCTAGAAGTAAATTCCGAATTGTAATTAATGCAAATTGTAGCTATATTAGTTAATTAACTAGTATATGTTTGTTTAACCGCATAATTTTCCCTTCTTTAAACCTATTTAAAATAAAAAATAAAGCAATTATAACTTGACAAATTAGTCCTTGTTTATATTAATTTCTTCATATTATTTAAAAAAAACATGACTTATGTAATAAATATTTTTAAAATAAATTAACACAAATAAATTAATATTATAATCTCTCTCTGTATATATATAATAAAGGAGAAACATAGACAAGGTGATGTGACACCTCTCTATGGCCTCCATTTGCATTTATCATTTTTCTCCTTTTAGGCTTTTTTTTTCTTATTTAAATTAATTACTATATTATAAAATCAAATTACTTAATTTATTACAAAGAAATATTTTATTAATGGAGTAATATTTATAACAAAAACTCTTCATATTCTTTTTTTTTCTTTGTTAGCCTCACTTCTAATGATAAAATGATAATATCTTTTAATATTTCAAGTGTTTTTCTCTTTATTATTTAATTTATTTACGAGGAGTAATCATCCATGACATACACCTCTTTAATTTTTATTTTTAATAATATTCAAGACTCATAATTTTTCATATCCATAACCTCCAAACATTAATTTGTAAGTTTATGATGTCTTATGGTATTCCTATATTTTGCCTATATGAACTTATATTTAGTTTCATGGAGATTCACATTCAAGATTATCCTTAATTTTCCTTCTTTATCATATTTTTTTTACCCTCCCTAGGAGCTCCCACCCCTTTTGTTCTCTTAGTGACTCGAAATCGCAACCTTTGGGTTGGAAGTGAGGGGTGCTTACCATCCGAGCAACTCCCTCTCGTCCTTCTTCATCATATTGGTTTGTGAATTTACTAATATTTAACAAAAAAAACGTACATGAATGTGAGAAATATTTCATTCTCAAGTCTTTCTTTTCATTTTCTACATTTTGCCTATATAAATTCATATTTAATTTCATGAAAATTCACATTCAAGAATATATTTTCTCTTTTTATGTATTTGGACATGCTTTCTTAATATTTTATTCATGCATGTATTATCATTCTCCAAGCAAGTAAGCCAAGTATGATTTTTTTTTTTTAAATGTTGTAATAATCAACAATGTGTTGTTAGTATGTGATTGTTCTCTTTAATAATGAATTTTTGAAATATAATATAGTTTGATTACAATATTTGTTAGATTTCAAGAGATGATTATCATTTATTGTTAGTACAATTGAAAAAATAATTTATAGATATATTACGTATAGTTTAAATTTCTTTCTTTTGGTATAATCACTTTCAATTGCTAAGATATTTTATTTACTCATAATTATGTTTTTTTTATTCAATTGGTAGCATATGATGAAGAGTTTGACATATGGAGCACAGAATATGACGGCGGATTTACTTGCAAAGGAAGATGGTAGAAGAAAAACATTTTTTTGTAGCATAATTAGCGATTATTTTTGCTAGATTTTTTTTACTTTGACCTGTTTTGGTGAGGTAGCTACTTTTGCTAGAATATTTTAAATTTTAGTTTGTATAAGTAACTTAACTACATGTACGAGCAATGCTACTCATTTGGTTCTATACTATTCTATTTTTTTTTAATTATGAAGCATAATTAATATAACTATCTCATTTCAAAAAAAAATTATGATGATCATGAGCTTCATTTTTATTATGCTTGCAAGAAAATAATTAAAAAATAAAATTTTAATTCTATGATGTCTTTTTTTATATGTAACAATCTGTTTTTGTCACTATTCTTTTTTTGTTTGAAATATATTTATATTTTATATGCAATCACCAATTAGTTTTTTTTTGTTCATTATTGTATTTATATACATTATTTTCACATTTATTTTACCAATAAAATTAATACATGATTATTCATGTAATTAATGTCTAATAAAATTCATAACTCATATCTCTTCATTTTACTTGTAACTTCTACTCTTAAATATTTTTATAACTTTTTCATTTTTCTTTTTCATAATTTTATAAATATTTAATTAATGTTTAAAAAACTATAGTAAGCAAATTCAATAATAAAGAGACAATAAAGAACTTCAAAAGCTTTTTTTACGAATTCGGAATTTGTATAGAGGATCGTAAAAAATATGTAATTCAATATAACAATTTCAAAATATGATCGCTTATTTCATTTACTTCACCACGGTAAATATTTTATTCTAATATATATATATAGAGAGAGAAACATGATGAGGAGGACGACCAAGGGTATATTGATCATTTCACTCAATTATAAAAGTGATTTTTATTCATTCACGTCACTGTTTCCAGATAAATCTAAAAAAATCTACCAACTCTCTCTCACAACTATATAGAAAAATACTCTCGCCTCCAGACTTTCAAGGTCGAATTGACTTCTTCTCTCAATCTACGAACTCTCTCAATGACAAGCCAATTTCAGATAAGTTTTAACCACAATTTTTGAACTAATATTTTGGTTGATGTTTATTACTATGCCCAATATTCATCTTCCCCCTTTTCGTTTCTTTTTTTGAAGGATCGATTTTTTTCCAAACTTTTTTCTATTTCTATTATATAGAAACATGATAAGGAGGACGACCAATGGTATATTGGTCATTTCACTCAATTATAAAAGTGATTTTATTTATTCACGTCACGTTTTCTAGATAAATCTAGAAAAATCTATCAACTCTCTCTCATAACTATATAGAAAAATACTCTCGCCTCCAGACTTTCAAGGTCGGATTGACTTCTTCTCTCAATCTATGAACTCTCTCAATGACAAGCCAATTTCAGGTAAGTTTTAACCACAATTTTTTAACTAATATTCTGGTTGATGTTTATTACTATGCCCAACATTCATCTGCTCCCTTTTCGTTTCTTTTTTTGAATGATCGATTTTTTTCCAAACTTTCAAAGACTACTCTTTCAGTTCTCTTCCCCCTCTCTGTTTGGGTGTTTCAATTTTAGTTCATTTTTCTTTAAATTTCTTGGCTGAAATTCTTGATTGATGTGATTATTGAGTGAAAGATTTTTTTACCGATAGTGAATTAAAATTGTGAAAGTTGATGTGGATTGATTTTGTATCGAAAGATATATCGATAGCTTGGGTAGTGAAAAATTTCAGTTCGTTAAGAGTATAATGCTATGACTTCTGCTTTTATTTCCAACTCTACCGTACAATTGATATTATTTTTTGTGTAACTATCAACTGCATTGTTAGTACACCTTGTTATTTACTTATTAATAATATAAATTTACGTACTAAAACAACAGGGAGGTACATTGTATATGTGCTTCAGTGCTTTGTCGTGTGTATGTATTGTAGTGCATCTGAGAATTTAGGTGGATCTTTACTCTTTTAGAGTTAGTCTATTATATTCTTTTATTTATGTGTGTCGTAAGCACACTCTTTTAAATAGAGTCATTTATATCTTGGTTAACTTTCAATATTGAATTTTAAATTTGACTTGGGATGTGTTGAAGTTGTCCAATAGACTTAGAAAACAAAAGAACTATCTGTTAAATCTAATGAGACTTTAAAAAAAGAACAAAAATATGTTTTGATCTTTAAAGGTATTTTTAAAAATAAAAAAAAATAGATCATGTGAACATCGATCAGAGCATGTATGCTAGAATTTGCCTCTTGGAGGCATGACAAATGGAGCTATTGCCTCCTCAATTGAGTGAGGGGAATGGGAACAAGAGAAACCTTGTGGTTGTTTCAGCTGATAATGAAAGCAAACCACATTTCTTGACCTTTCTGTTTGATATGGGTCTCTAACTAATAAATAACTTTCTATTTAGGAGCTCTTTTTTGCTCAATTTAGTGTCCAATGCACCAATCAGTAGTAGAGAAGAAGAACATAATCATTCTGCAGCATATTTCTATAATATAGAAGAGCGAAGTGAGGGACGACCAATGACATATTTGTAATTATATTGACATGCAAGGGTAAATAGTAAATATTGATAAAAAATATCTACAGCCTATTCACTTCAATATTATGTCCTCTATCTAAACCCTCAAGATAGTTGTGGAAACATCTTGTTATTTCCAACGGGATCCACAAGAATTCAAAAAATATGGATTCCTTTACCGTTCTTCATTCTTTCAAGTGTTCTTTGAGTTCTCGCCATTTCGTTGCAATTTCAGGTCAATGTTTCTTTCAATTTTCCCCTAATTTAGTTTCAGTTCTCTTCGAATTCCCAATTCCATGGTTGTTATCCTTTTTATTAATATTTTTTCATTCACATGCTTTTATTTTTCTGCAAAAATATATTTCATCTATATTCTAAATACAAAAAGATTCATCAGTATTCTCAGTTCTCTTCATCGATTATCCATTTCGTGGTTGTTTTCAAGTTTGCTCAATATTTTCTGACTATTGAGAGAAGGAAAGACCAAAATAAACTTAAGTTGTCGGTTCAAGAAGTTTATGAAGTTGGTCAAATTTTTAGTTACAATATAATTAACTTTTCAAATTGTAAATTATTTGTGAATAATGAAGAAGCATTTATACACTTTAAAGTCATATTTATTTTTCATGTTCCCTCCAAATGGAATAAAAACTTGGAATGGTACTAATTTCATTTGGCTTAGCCCTATTTTTCTTGCAATTGATTCTTTCGGTAACACTTGAAGCTCTTAAAATGGAAAAAATTGTGGTCTTTTGCTAGGATTTGATAGAACATTTTTCGAATTCCAGTTTTAAATATTATAAGCAAACAAAAATACATATAAACAATAAGATGGTAATACCTTACATTTCTTTTTAATATTGTTTTCTTCTTCTTTTTACTTACATTTGCTACATTTAGCCGGCGGATTTTTCGGAAATAATCTCTCTACCCCATGAGACAATGGTAAGGTTTGTATACACTCTAGCCTTTAGACATCGGTAAGGTTTGTATACACTCTAGCCTTTAGACATCACTTGTGGGATTTCACTAGATATGTTATTGTTGTGCCTTTTTTACGCTTTCAAAATTTATCGGACTTGTCATGCTTCCCTATAGATTGTTATGGTTTTTCTTTTTGGGTGTTTAATCTAATATCGTGGACTTCTCAAACTTTTCACAATATATTAATGGTGGTTCAATTTTTTTCTTTTTTGTCACAACTTCATGTGCTATGTTGCTTCATCTATTATAGACAGCTGCCTTTGTGTTTTATTTCGTTTGCACTTAGTCTGTATTGCTAATTTGATGATCCAATTCAGACCATTTATATGCAATACCAAAAGCATTGAAATTTGTTTAAGGATACATTACTATTAAAGGTATACATTAATAGTTTCATAAAAATATTTCATGGTTTATTGAGAGAGCACTTACCATATTATTATCGCTGAAAGAACTGATAACAAAATCATCAAGACTATGCGACGTCTGTTATTAATATAGCATCTGGTGCTCCTCTTTTATTAGTGCAGGGTAAATAAATATTAATACTTTTGTGTATTTTGAGAAGTAACTGAAAGAGTTTCTATTTCAGATGCAAACTTTACTAATTCAAATTGTTTTGGTATGATACAGACTAATTTATGTTTGGTCCGAAATATTAGGTGCATCATTCTTGATTGGAAGTGTAATGTGAAAGTAAGCATAAACTAAGTTATGTGTTCTATTCTTTCAACAGTAAGTTTCAATAATCTATTTATCTGCATTGTTGCTACATAAGAAATAATTATTAGTCTTATTCGAAAACCATTTAACCAATAAAAACCAACACTCAGAATTTTCTATACCTATTTCTTGTATCAATTGACGAAATGTTTGTTTAAAATTCAGTAACCTATTTCGATTTTCTTTGATTTTGAACTTATATATTTTTTTTAGAAATATTTTGGATTTATCTAATGCGGGTTTAGCTAGACGTTGTGAATGCAATTTATGAAAATTTTCTTTAATTGTGCAAGACTTTTAACTTTTAAGTCAGATTATTATTTCTGTTCTCATTATATTAGATTAAGATTTTAATTTGATTATATGAAGGATAAGTTGAGATTGTAATGCCTAGAGATGTCTAATTTCTTCCTATCATGAGGGATGATTCAATTGCTATAAAGAAAACCTGAAACAATGTGTATTACCCATATGATGATCAAATAAGAACCCACTTAGATAGATATTGTGTCTATTTGTTAATGCATTTCTGTTTCTATTAAGAAGACATGTGATTAGATGTTATCTACAATTATATTTGAAGTGAACTTCTTAAAACATAACACCGGAAAGTAGTTGATTCATATTGGTTAAGAAGACAAAACACATACCTTGGTTAACTTAAGATGATGAGTGTTATCATGTCAACAGTAAATATTTGAGAGCATCTTTGTCTATTTGTTGAGTATGAGGGCGAGAGATAAGTCTGCGACTAATCAACATCATTTTCTTCTTGTAACTGGATAGAGAGAATGTTCTATCAAGATTAAAGTTCTGTATTTACTTAAAACTTTCTTTATGCTTATAGCTTATTAGACTTTATAACAGATGATACTGAATTATGTCTACTATAGTTAAATTATACAAGAGCATAACTTCAGGGATTTATGTTCATTGTCACCAATTACTCCTTGATGTTCAAAAAAATGTGAGTATATCTTCTTTAGAGGTCATTAAGCCTTTCTTTTCATCTCATGAAGGCATATGGGTTTTACTCTTGATTGTGATGTTAAATTGTGTAGTTACTCCCCTGAAGATGGATGTCAACTAAAGATGAAAAGTAATTTAAAAGATTGGGAGTTAGCTACTCTAACTTATCGTCTTTTGCTCATGCAGGGAGATGGAGGTAATCGAGATGAAAAAGATAAGAGTATGGTGAATTTCTAGCAGTAAAGGTGAAAATATCGGAGAATGGCTAGAAAAACATTTCTAGAAAAGCATGAGAAGGACGACCAAGGGTAAGAATGTCATTTAACATATAATTTAATTGCTACATTGCTATCTTACTATATGTCTTCCCGGCCCTTCCTCTCCATCTCCATCTCATTTTCTCTCACCTTCTCTCTTTAGAAATAAACACTGAACTTTAACCTTACAACACTTGACAGATTCTAATTCAATTATGATTTATGGGTACCTGAAAATTTATTAGCGTGTCTGTTGATTTAGAACCAGGATTTTGGGGAAATTTTCTTGGAGTTGAAGGAAAGAACCATGAAGCTACATAACATAGTTAAAAAGGCGCTAAATCCATTGTACCTTAACACCGTTCACATACAAGCCGATCAATGACTACAGGATTTTCAATGCACTATTGATGCTTGGCAGGTTTCACAATTTTTATCTAATTATTTTAGTTAGGTCTCTCTAAATTTAATTAATAGGAACAATTGTTAAGAGAAATGAGATATAGATATCAATTTTGAGTATGCCATTACCGTGCTCATTAATAATTTTGATTTATATGAAGCGGACAAGAAGAAACAATTTTTCATTTCAGATTGGCTCGAATAGTGGAATGGATAAAGATGATTTTGATAGTGAAACCAACTAATTTGGGATTGCGATATACTTCATTGATTTATTTTTCATTGGATTTATGGTTTTAAAATAAGAGAAACTTCTTACGTAAGTGGTGAAAGAATTAAAGTACCATTTATCTATAGTAATATAAATTGAATAATTTGTTTAATTTCCGACTTCTTAATCTCGCTTGCTCCATCAGTCGTATACTACAGATTAAGTACGAAAGAATCAGAGAAAGTATACATCTATCAATTGGGAATAATTCTACTAGAGGTACCAATCAACTCAATATGAAATAGAAAATGTGAAACTTCATGTAAAAACGATAAGACCCTCTATTACTTGAACACTCAATATTGTTGTTCTTCTAACAGAAGGATTTTTATATCTAAGGAAGGTTATGGTTCTGGGGATATAATTTATAGTAGTGTTAGATAATGTGTTGATTCTACTAGTAGACACAGAGCAGTAGACATAAGATTGACTTCCAAAAGATAATGCTAGGGCATGATGCAACAAAACTGAAAACATTCTTCTTATACCCACCCCTCTCCTAATACATTAATGTTATTGTGTTGTAGAACATCATTTATGGTAACTTCTTACAATATTCTTATATTTAAGTCAACAACATGGGACAAACAATGTAATATTTAAGGGAAAAGAGTCTGAAAAATATTCCAACTTTGGCCGAAATTGTTGTTATGATACCAAACTTTGGAAAAGACCTTTTACCCCATGTACTATTTAATAGTGTATTTTAAAGGTATATATGTGCCTACGTGGACATCATAAATATTGCTTCATTTTAAATAGTAATGTGTCCACGTGGGCACATATATGCCCTTTAAAATCACTATTAAATAGTGCAGGGGGTAAAAGGTCCTCCATAAAATTTGGTATCTTAACAGCAATTTCGGCCAAAGTTGGAGTATTTTTCAGACCATTTTCCCTAATATTTAATTGTACAAGATGTTACGTAAATTGCACTACAAACTAGATGAGGAGGACGACCAAGGACACTTTTGTCATTTTACCAAAATAATCAGCTTAGAACAATTGTACTTTCTGCTGCAAAATTATTGAATTCCCCAAATACCCAACCAAGTTGCTATTATTATGATGGTCACGTGTACTTCCACACATGAAAAGCATAAAAAATATAATAAGTAGTTGTACTATCTAAAAATGGTGGGACCCATTTTTTAAATCATTTTATATTACACTAACACCTTTATTTTTTGCACTAAAATAAATATAAAACGAAACAAAAATGATTTAAAATGTATTAAATGAAAATAAAGATTTTTTAATTAGGGAGCATAAAAATAAAAATTAATAAATAAAATGGATTGATAAATTAAATAAAATTAAAGTAAAGTAAGAGTCTCACTAAATTTTAAAATAAAGTAAAATTATGCGAATCAAATATTGAAGACAAATAATAAGTATTCTTCGTGTTCAATTTACGTACATTAATGATAAAAATATTTTAATAATAGAATAGTTTAAAGCTTAAGATTAATATTTAATTAATCATAGTAGATTATTTACTTAATATTGCTATTCTTTTGTCTGAAATAAGAAGTTAAGAATCGAAACACATGAAAATCAATACATTAATTAGAAAAGTAAATAAATTTAAGTAGATTAATATTTAAAAAGAGATGACCAAAATCGCAAATATCTATTAGTAATTTAAAAATTGTAACACCCCGACTTTTCTAAACGTCTAAATTAATTCGTACATTCGTGGAAAGACAAAGAGGGTGAGTAATAAATTAAAAATGATGTGGTATGTCATACTTTAAGTGTTCAAGGGTTGTATTTCAAGTTTTGAAGTTAAGCAAGTGGCAAAATAAAAGTTGGCGAAAGTTATCGTAAGTTCCTTTTTAAAGATTTCTCTGAAATTTGGGTCAAATGTATTGGATGTTTTCTCTCAATATATAAAGAGTTAGAAGGCCTATTACCCATTAAATTGAAGGCCTACGAGTCTAGTTTGCAACGCACAAAATTCCGTATCAAACCGACATCATAGTAAAAAGTTATGAGGGTTTTACTAGGGATTGTCGGGGTAGAATTCGGGTCGGATTCGGGTCGGGTCAAAATATGGTATGTCGGCTTATTTAACGTTTTAAGCCATGAAAACATTCCATTTCAGTTCCAAACCAGAGAGAAAGCTTAAGAGAGGGTTCCTATGGAGTTCTAGCATTATGAAGGTTAGTTTTTGACGATTTCTACCATTAAACATTGCCCCCCGTGCCTAGAAACGTAATCCCTACACGTGCCAATCGTTTTTCCCTTCTATTAGCTGCGTTTGGAGCTGGGTTTTGAAGATATAAATTTGTAGTTATTGGTGTTTCTTCAAGGTTTAAACTTGGTTAACAAAGGTAATCATCTCAAGACTCTTTTATGATTGTTTTTATGAATTTCTACGAACGTTTCGACAAGTTGGGGAAATATGGAAAATCTGCCGATTTAAGATTAATTATGAATTGTTTATAGGTGCGTACCAACTGTGTATATATAGTGTTTGCGAAGCTTTGGACATAAAGAATAACTTTCGTGAAGTAACTATTGTCTTTCGAGCGTTCATTGGAAAGGTATGCTAAGGTTTTTCCCTTCGTCGACATGTTTCCTTAGAGGTAGTTTACGTTGGTGATATTTTAGATGTAATTGTGAGTGGTTGGCTGATTGAGTGGTTATAAACCCTCATTTTAAGGACTCATAATCTGTTAAGAACGACCCTAAGTTAGGAACGAATTGGAGATTATTCATATATATTGTTTATAGCAAAATTGCTCGCCTTTTGCCTATTCAATTGTTTGTTGTCGCCCTTGGGGCTATTGTGGTTAGTTGTTGAGCTATGAACTGCCTATGGGGGCTATGATGTTTTCTAATAGGACTATGTTATTTCCAAAGAGGGCTATGTGTTGACCACGGGGCTATATTGATGCCAAAGAGTGTTATATGTTGCCTACGGGGCTATTTTGACGCCAAAGAGGGCTATGTGTTGCCTATAGGGCTATGTTGATGCAAAAGGGGGTTATGTGCAGCCCATAGAGTTATAATGTTGCCTAAGAGGGCTATGTGCTGCTTACGGGGCAATATCGTTGCCAAAAAGGACAATATGACTTCTTACAAAGACAAGGGGTTATCGATAAGGTTATGTAGATTGATTTGGCACCTTCTGGACTTATGGGGGCCTAAGTAGGTGGTATGTTGTTTGTACCTACCGGGCATATGGGGCCTTGGTTAGGTTGATGTTTGATCATTATTGTATTTTATTAGATTCAGTAGTGGGTTGGCATGCTTATCTAAATTTGATTTCCTTACCTGTTGTTTTTGGTATATTATGATACTTGCTCATTTAGTCTATAGTCTTTCATACTTTGTACATTATTTTTGTACTGACGCCCCATTGCCTGGGGCGCTGTATTCATGCATGCAGGTCCTAACAGACGACCGAGTAGACCTCCTCAGTAGCAAGATTGACTTCTATCCGGTTGGCCTAGCCCCTTTCCTCCGGAGCTGCCAGAGTTGGGAGGTTTGTTACCTTTTTGTTGTATATATCTTTATGGGTAGGCTGGGCTCTGTCCCGCCAATCTTACTACCCTTTGAGGCTGTAGACTAGTGTCTGGGTGTACAACTAGGTTATGGCCATACTGGCCTAGTTTTGTTGGTTTGCTGAAGCTTGTGAGCTGTTTGATGTATTGTCTTGATATATACCTGCTTTCAGTTTTTGTATAGATATCATGGTGGCCTCGACGGCCCAGTCAGGACTTCTGTGCTAGTTGGCTATTTCTTTATATGAACTCTTGGGAGTTGCTGCTTCTTTTATATATATATGTTGATAGGGGTCTTACCGGCCGAGGGCTTAGTTTTAAGCCGGGATATACTAGTTTGTTTTCTTGATTGTGTGTGTCTGTCATGCGCTAGTAGCAAATGGTTCAGCAAGGTCGGCTCGGGCCTGAGTTTTTGCATTAGGAGCCAGTTGCGCCCCTTGAGTTTAGGGTGTGACAAAAATAATGAATAAATTTTGGAATAAGGTAAAAGTATTTGGGCAAGAAATCAATACGATATGTAATGATCTATGTATCAAAATATCATGTTAATTTAACATTTGATTCTAAATAGATTTTTTTTTTAAAAAAAAAGAAGAAGAGAAAATGCATTTATATATGTTTGCAATTTTTTCACTAAACTGATAAAAATAACAAAAATACTTATTTCTATAGGTTATTGTGCATGAAAAAAGAAAACCAAAAACACATATTGTATCATGCTAAAATAATTATATTCATTAAAGATAAATTATACATATATATAACTTCATAAGAGAGTTTATGTGTGAGTGATAAATAAAAAATATTAATCTCTCTATTTCAATTTGTTTGTTCTATTTTGACTTGGCATATGAAGTTTAAGAAATTAAGGAAGATTTTTGAATCTTGTGGTTTCAAATTAAAAATATGTGAAATATATTAAATGTCTTTTAATCTTGTGATCTTAAATATGTAATGTGAAGTTAGAACTAAGAAAAGAAAAGGAATATTACTTTTTTAACAAATTATAAAGAAAAATATGACAGATTAATCGAAATGAATAGGATAAATTTCAAGATGATAATACATAATGATTCATGATTAATTTTTATATAAGATATAATTCAATCTAACAGACAAATTAACTTCGACCTAATAAATTTGTGTCATCATAGTAAAAAATAAATAATTAAATATAGACTTGAGTGTTTTACAACTTAAAAAATGAATTTACCCATCGTTAAGACCAATTAAACTTTAAAATATTTTTGGGTTAATTTAATTTAATATTTTTTATTCAGTATTCGATATTCATATTGGAGTTCGATTAATTCTAATTTGCACCGAAATAAGGCCCATTCGGATATAATGCTCCTTATTAAGAATTTTTTT